TTAAATACTTGTTAAAAATAAACTACATACATTTCGTACCTAGCAAGTCTACATAAAGAACCAGCTTACGTAAAAAAAAGCATCTCTGCATGAGGGTCTATTTTCAGCAACGTCTATTTTAACCATACATGTTTCTTTGGGGAAAATTGAAAACCAGCCCAAATATACTCCAGACCCATTATGAAATATATTACAATCATTAAAAAGAATATATATATATATATTTTTATATGTATATAAGCTGTAGCTTATTCATACAACAGAATACTACTCATCAATAAAAAAGAGTAAATAATAAGATCTTATTTTTGTAAAAAGCAAATAACCAAAAAAACTTTTCTTCATATGAATATGTGTTTGCAACTGTGTTTTCTCAAGTATGATGAAGATGATGTGGAAAAACACACCAGGTTGCTGATGTTGGTTATGTCAGGAATATGAGAATAACGGGATTAGGAAGCATTTCTTCACATATTTTTGTATTATTTCACTGGTTATATTAAGTGAATATTACATTTTAATTAAAACAAGAAAGCTTGAAAAAGTAATAAAGATAAAGAGGTAGAAAACCAGAAATAAGACTAATAGGAAAGACAAAAATAAAGGTGAAACAGAAAACCGGCTGGCAGAAAAAGGACTCCTGGAGTTCAGAGTTAGGAGGCTTGTGTGGTACACTTCAAATTCCCAAATCATAAAAATGCCAGCTACCAGGACTGAAAGAGTCCTTTGAACACAGCGCTGGGGCAAGCCGTTTTTCTCTGGTTAAACCTCGGGCTCCTTTGAAGGGCTCTAACTGACTTCTTGGGCTCATATTGTTCCCTTCATCTGTTGCTTCCTTGTTTATTCCTGCATCCCTGCATCACCATCACCCACCCACCATTTGCCAAATGCATGCTTACTGTGTTTTTAATTTTAAAGCTATTTTTACATTCTGCTCTTCTTTCAAATCATAATAACAGGTTTCATATGCTTGTTTTTAAGGACTATAGTAAATGGAGTTCCTGGGACCCTTTTTCAACTTTTGTTTCAGGGACATATTCTCACAGCCAATCCTCTTGCAGCCAGTGGCCATGACAATCTCACTTGGGGGAAACCAGTGTCCAGTCTTGCTCTGATTCTCTGAAATGGGCATCTTGGAATCTCAGGATTTAGTGACAGGCTTCATGGTTTCTACTCTGTCTTAGAAGCTTCCAGTATATCTCCTGATTCCCTGGTGTGATGGATTACAGGGCTATTTCTCATGCTGTAAGAATAAAGGTCTGGACTTGACGTGCTCAACTCCGACACTCGCCATGTGCCCTTGAGTGAATTCAGTGATGTTGCTAGAGTCCTTTGTTTCCTCATCTGCAAACCAGCATGGGGAGTGGATGTGTTAATGATGGAAAGCGCTTGAAATAGTGTCTGCTCTTACTGTATTTCATCACCAGCATTACTGTTGTTGTCGATAGAGATGTGGTATTGGGTTGCATTGATCAGATGAGAACTCTGTCCATATTTAAAATAACAAAAGATGGCAAACTATCTGAGGAATATTGCATTTATGCTATAACTTTATAATATCTCAGAGGGGTCAACTCAGGAGATTATTAAAAGTCAGATTTTACTTATGTTATATTCTTTTGTATTGTCTGACTACCATCAGAATTACTGTTTTTGTAATTTAAAAATACACAAAAACCAGTAGATTTTAAAATGGAGGTAAGACCAATCAGAGAATACCTTTCCATCTTCTATATTGAAAACTTACTGTTTTTATAAGACTGGTTATATGAGGTTCAAAAAGGCAGCCATAAAAAGTATATATATTTTCTCTAATAGTAAAGCAATTTCTGGGGTTGTTGATCCTAATGTGAAGATGAGATTTGTCTGATATAGATCTATGAGATCAGTCTAATAAATTACTCTGCTGGTTGCTACATTAGAAATTCAAAGCCTGGAGATGCAGCTCACCATATATGTATGGGTCCCCAGACACCACTAGTCCTGATCCCCAAAGTCCACAGACTTGATGGAATGAGCTCACAGAATTTGGAGATGCACATTTCTCTTCACCTGTCTCCTTATTCTGCTTTATATCTACCCCACCACCTTAGTGTACCTGTGGTATCCAGACATAAGTTACCAAAATGGAAATCAGTCAGAGGTTTTCTTTTGTCCTTCTGGACAAGTTGTAAAATGTACACCATTGTGCAATAAATGCATGACATGAAAGGTGGAGGCAGCTGCAGGGATGGCAGGCAGATTTTTGGGAAAGACTTCAAAGTGAGAAATGATTTTATCCATCCTCCCAGAGTGGAATCCTTTTAGAGATGGACTCACATTGTCTAGACACATAGAGAGTAGTTTACAAAGCAAAGTTGTACTGCTGTTATTACAGGGAGGGCAGAAGAACCATTACATTGTAAGAATTCACAATTCTAATCCTCAGGCTGCCCTGTTAGATATAGGAAGTTGGAAATAGTAAAAGATATTGAACATATGATTGGCAGGAACTTAATCTGGGAACCACAAGACTTTGAAAGAGCACAGTTCCAAGTTAAATCAGAGCTCCACCATCGCTGTGTGCCCCTAGGTGCCTTGACAAAACTTTCTGAAGCTCAGCATTGTCATCTAGATAACAGAGACAATTATACTGCTTTAGGTTGGATGCTTAGAAACAAACTTTGAGGTGGGGAGTTACAATCAGGGGCATGCTAGGGAGACAGACTTGTGAGAATTGCAGAATTGGGCAAAAGGATAAACTGAGTTGTAATGTGGCTTGAATTGAGTCTCCCTGGAATTCAGATAGGAGGTCGGCAGCTTCATGATAGCTCTTTCCAGTTGTTTCCAGTTGGAAGGGAGTGGCTGAGCCCTTGGACCTGGCATGAGTCAATCTTGTCCATATATTGCTCCATGTAACATCAAGCGATGTTTTCCCTTCTAACTGAGGGATGCTTCATAGTGACAGGCACACTTCCTGTAGCCTATGGTCCCAGCAGTGAGGGTGCACTGGTTTTGAACAGGGGATCTGGGTAGGGGTCCTCAGGATCCATGACAAATCCAGATTTGTGGGAATTATAGAAGTATTTTACATTTGCACATCATAGAATGTCTATAAATATTAATTATTTTCTTTCTTTCCCTCTTGAAAATATTTCTTAATGACTTTGGAAGATTAAGACCTATTTTTCCTGTTCCAACATAAACTAGACACTTTCAGTGTTCTAAATACCTATATTCAGCAGAAATATCTCTTTGCCTTGAAAAAAGACTGATAAAGACTTATACACTGTTACTTTTTTTAAAAAAATCAATTATTAAAGATCCCATAGTCTTCTGATGGGTTAGTAACTTGGAAAAGATTTACTTCTATATCAGTAACATAACTGCCATTGTTTCTCCTGTAATTATTTTGGTTGGATTTGGAGACTTACTCATCTCCTGGACAATATATTTTATAAAGTATTGCCAGGTATCTGAAGCTGGGTAATGAAGAACACTTTTACAAAATGACTATTCCCACTCCTTAGACACATATTTTAAAAAATGATGTGATATCTCAGAGTCAATTTAAAATATTTTGTTATACATATTTGGCAACCATAGGACTCATATTCATTATAGAATTTGTATGTGTACCTAATAGCTCTTAATTGTTCTCTTTTCCTCATTCTCCTTCCTTCCCTTCAACCCTTCTTCTCCTTCTTCCCCTCTTCATTTAAATAAGCTTTGTTTTCATTTTTCATTCTTTGTTTTTAATCCCTTTTCTCCTCTTTCTTTTCTTCCCCCTCTCTTGTTCCCTTCTCCATCTGAACCTGTTGCTCCTACTTCCCAGTATCTAGCCACCATTTTCCACCTTGCTCCTTGTTTACCTTTAAAGTTTCTCACACAAGAGAAACAATGAGATATTTAAACTTGCATGTCTTATTTATTGCACTTAAAATTATGGCCTCAAGTTGAATCCCTTTGCCTACAAATGACTCAAGTTTATCCTTCTTTACAGCAGAGTAGTACTCTGCTGTGTGTGTGTGTGTGTGTGTGTGTGTATAACATTTTCTATATTCGTATCTGTTGATAGGCATAAGGGCTATTTCCAAGATCTAGCTATTATAAATTGTGCTGCTATTAACATGGGTACACATATATCACTGTGATACAGTGTCTTTGACTCTTTCAGGAAGATACCTAGAAGAGGAATAGCTGGCCAAAGGAACCTTTAGTTATAGTTTTTAGAAAAATCTTCATACTGATTTCCATAATGGTTTTTACCAGTTTACACTATCACCAACAGTCTTTTTTCTCTGGGGTCACCTTTTCTTGACTTTGAATTCAAACTTTCAAGGAGATGCCCTGGTGAGAAATCCTAGAAATTTATATTACTATTCACACAGATGTGCTCAGGAGGACTTTCCATTTCTGCTTCTTGTTTTATATTCTCTCTAGACTTATTGCACTCAGCAAGAACAGGGGCAGGTCTGGAAAGAAGAATAACAGGGCATCCAGGACTGTCCTTGCACTTTTCTACGGATGAAATCCTTAGGACTAAATGACTTCTGGGAATCCAGTGTAGGAGAGTGGCTGGGGCTCAGGTCAGCGAGCAACATGGCTGAAACAGAATGACCAAAGGAGTGGAAACTTTTAACTGGAGGAGCCATCTAGTGATTAAGATTGATGGGTTGGAAAGTAACTAAAAGAAACTCAAGGAAGCTGAAGAAAAAAAAATTTAAAGAATACACTTGTATTTTCAAAACATTGACAGCACAGATTCAGCTTTCAGGTCTCAGAACGGACCTCAGTCAGGAAACCCAGGGAGACCTCTCTCACGTGTATTTCTCTTGTGCATCTGCTTCCATGGTGGCTTAAAAAAACCCTCTCAAATTCTCTGGCAATTCTTTCCTCAAAAGCTGGAGTATAGTTTTCCTCTCATTGGATGTAGACTGTATTTACTTTGAAATGAATAGAATGTGAATTCTGAGAATAGAACATAAAAGCTATGACTTCCTCCCCACTTCCTTTCTTAGATCACTCGCTCTGGTGGAAGCTGTATCATGAGGACACTCAGCAGCTCTGAGTGGAAATCTGTGGTGAGGAAATGAGGCCTCTTGCTGGCAGCCAGATGAGTACACTGCCTTGGATGCGGGCTGCTCAGCCCCACTCATTCTCCAGGCGACTGCAGACAGGCCTGGCTTGCATCCGGATGGCAGCTGTGGGAGACACCTGAGAGAGCCACACAGCTGAGCCTCTTCTCAGTCTTGATCCCAAGAAACGGTGAGAGAATGCATTTCTTGTTTAAATCACTAACTTTTATGCTCATATTTCTACAGCAATTATCATTGCCAGTCTCCTCTGTTTAGAAAGCAGTTTTCAGAGAGGAGAGTCTGTCTTCGGTCCACTTTTCAAGGGGATGTATTCTGATTGATGCAAGTAGAGAAAGGGATATAAATGTGAACAAATAAATCGTGGACAAGATGGTGAACACCACCATATATTTACATGGGAATGTCCACTGTAAGCAAACATTATTGACATGCTTTAGTAATGTGTACTTGGGAATTCCCAAAATGAATTCCATAATGGAACAAGTCTATTCCTTTGGTCACCAGCACATCCCCTAAGGTAGCTGAAGATTATTTGGTTTTAATATACTGTTTTGAACCTCAGGTGTCAATGTCATGTATGAAGCACAAGCACGTGACTGATTTTTACCTGTACGTTTCCAAAGATTGATGTGTTACTTGTGTTTAAATAGCATACCCTTTGCATGTCTGGCTACCCTGAATGTATTTATACAACCTTATCCTTTCCTTTCTGCTTGGCTACTTTCAAGTTGCTAAATATTTTTAAAAATTTTCTTGCAATAACTGCAATAAATCTTTTCCAGAAACTTCCCATACCTCTTATGTGTGGAAAAAACTTAAATTCATATAGTTTTTCTAGGAATAAATCTGCTAGGATCTCTTTCTTTCCCTCTCTCTTTATAAATACGTCTATTGGGAGAAAGTAAACAAGATTAATCTTGATGATTTCTGATTCATAAATCAAGTCAAGCCACTTAAGTGATTTTGCAGATAAAAGTAATGTGTTCAGAGGGAGTGAGTTAATTATTATAAGTAAGACTGGTACATATATTTAAACTTCTGGCTAATAAACATGCTTTCATATAATAAACATTACAACAAAAATTTAGGATAAACTTATGTATAACTTCTAGATTTAGGAGTCCACATTTGAAAGAAGATAACAGTCTTTGGAATAATCCTGTTTCAGGGAACTTCTTAGGACCTAACTACCCAGGATACAATTCATGATCATAAGATACGAAATAGTATCCATCTGCTGAGAATGAACTTGCACTTCATCCAATTTAATATTTATATATAATTTAAGTATAAGCACTCTCCAGATTTAATCCTTTATTAGCAGCATATAATAGCAATTCAGTGACTCCTCTTCTTATTCCTTTTAAATTTCCTTAGCTACTATCAATGCAGAAGACTATACTTTCAGGGATCATTTCTACTGCTTATTACTGTTTATTAATTAAAGTTTAGAGTCTCTAGTGTCAATATAGGATAGTTGTTTTATCATTGTGGTCTTTGTAAAAAGATTAGTGAGTCTAATACTTAACTTGCATCAGTCATTTTTTCCCTATAATGTTATTAATTTAATTGTCAATCCTAGTTTATGGTATATTGTGAATTTTCAAATTTTACTGAGAAATTTGGATTGGGCTACTAGTATTAATACAGAAATTCTTATTAGGAACATTTTTGGACCGTTTCACCCATATTTCTACATATTTGTAAAATGTTGCACACTTCCAGAATCACTGTGTCAATCACACTTTCTCAGATAGTTTAGGAGAGAGCTTTCACATTCTCATGCTAAGTATCTGTTAGTTTAATAGACTTTGGCCATCACTGATTATCTGGACACTCAATTACTCTGTGAGAATCAGGGCTCTAAAAGTATAAGAAGACTCCTAAAGTGTCTTTGATTATTAGTGTTATTGAAATAGTTCATAGAACATGGGTAGATTAGTCAGGGTTCTCCAGAGAAACAATTGATAGAGTACATAAATAGATAAGTAAATAGCTAAATAGTTATATATATATATATATAATATATATGTATATAATGGAAATTGGCATACATAATTACAGAGGGTTAGAAGTCCATTCACCTACATCCACACATTGGAGACATGGGAAAGCTGCTGGTGCAGTTTAGTCTTGAATTTGAAGTCTGGAGAACCAGGACTCTGATGTCTCAGGA